CAGCTCCCATGTATTTTAATGAATATTCAAGCGAGTGTGTTACGAAATGTCTTTTGTTTTCATTCTATCGCTTCAACTCGTTTGCTTATAAACTTGGTCAAATAGGCTTAAAGAGGAACCTGGAGATTTGGTTCTGAATTGTGTTGAAATGTTTTAATTGATCAGGGATGATTATAGTGTAACGCGTTTTGGAACAACAAAACATCTATGTGTATTTGTGTCTGCGTGTATATATTTTCATTTGGAGGGGTGTTGTCTCACTTTGATTACCCTTTCAAACAGGTCTGCCATCCCTACTGGGAATTAAACTCAGAGACATGCATGCAAATAATACCAAATACACTACAGATCTATTACATCAAAGCAGAACAATTTTACAAACGTGCATTAAATTTGCTGGTCTCCACTCTACGGTGTCTTGGGTTTTTTTTTTTTTATTGTATTTTTTTTTCTTATTCCTTTTATAAAGCTAGGATATCGTCTTGCTCAAAACATGCACATTGTGAGACCATAATTTAACAACAACAACAACAACAACAACAACAACAACACGACAACAACAACAATAACAACAACAACAACAACAACAACAACAATATACCAACACACACACACACACACACACACACACACACATAAACACACACACACGCACACACACGTACACAAACACAACTCTCAGACCCTCACACAATCTCACATACAAAATTTCACTGACAACCACTTTGCATTTGCAATCTTCCGTGTCTTCTAAATAAGAACTAGCTCAAGTCTTTAATCTTGAACTTTGACCCTTGAACAACGAACCTAAGTGCTGTTCGTCCAATGCAAGATGTAGCCTCCCCCCGTCCCCGGCCACAAAAATGATGTCCAATACTACGCATTTTTTTCATTTTGGTGCCAAGATGCCAAAATGTTTTATTTGTTAAATCGAAAGTCTGATTGGGTGATAAAAATAAAAGTGAAACTGACCAGTTTTTGAATAAATTAGAATTCAAATTTCGGAATGACTCTATTTTCAAAGGGTACACTGACAAAAAAACAACAACAAACAAACAAAACAACTCTTTTTTCTCAAAACTGCTGTGAAGGGGAAAAAGGCGTTTTGTCAGCTAACGGCAGCTATGTTCTGTGGGTTGTTCTCGTATCCGATGTCTGGTATCATTCTGCCAATTTCTTCCCGAAAGTTAGAGGTGTTACCAGAGAGTGACAAACACAAAAAGCGAAGGAGGAGAGATCTGTGCGATAGATGTTTGATAGGAAAGAAGGGGCATAACACACCAGTGCACCCGCCAACCACCCACGTTTGTTTTGAAAGATTCTAATCCAGAGAGTTGTACAATACCCAAACACCGTGGCAGCTTGTTTAGTTCAGTTCCAGCCGGGTCCAAGGCCAGAAAGGAAAGAGAAAAAGACAAACAATACACTGTCGTCATTAAAAAGATATAGTTTTAGAAAGCCCTACAATTTTACAGAGAGCCCCCCCCCCCTTCCAAAAAGGGGGGGGGAGGAAAAGACAAACAAAGGCCTCCCTGAATATTGTTGCCAAGAAAACCAAACCCTTTGCAAACATCCGAAATCAATATTTTTAAGAATACAATTCTGATCATAATATAGTCCTTATTATCGCTAAAGCAAATTCTGCTGTTTTACGGGTAACAACATTACGTTTGTTTGTTTGTTTGTTTGTTTGTTTGTTTGTTTTTTTGTGGGTTTTTTGTATTGGCTCTCTTCTAACATTAAAATTAATTTCTAAGACTTGCATATACTGTATTTTAAAAAATGACGGCAGTACAGACTTCGTAAGCGCGTGTTTCGATACAGGGGCGGCACTGGTAGAAGTACTGTGGGGTAATCCATGATGGAAAGTAGTTGGCAGCATTCTGGTCCATTCTTCTGAAGACCACAGATCAAATCCTGGTCTTAAAATTTGGGTTGTTGATATTATAATTTATTCATAGCTCGCTGACCATTAGTACTAATGTACTACTGAAACAGGAGCTGCATTTGATCAAATGATTAATGAGCAGTTTGCGCTTCAGTGCAATTGTTTGTGAGGGTGACTAATTGTGCAGTTCTTTTTCTTAGGTCTGAATCCCAAGAACGTATGAATGCTTCTGTCTTTTTAGATAATTGTGTGTTTAAAGTTGAGCATGGGCATTGGGCACACTTCGATGACTTTGCCTGTTTCTAGTATAAGAGCCCTGATTTCAGAAAAAGCTGGGATATTGCCATCATCACCGCCACCATCCTCACTCTCACTGTCTTCATCATTGTTTTACAGTAGAAAAAACAGGAGACTTGAATATCGCTGTGTATATTTAATAAGATAATATCTGATGCCAAATGTTCCCCACAAATGAAAAGGAGAACTACAACAGCTAAGGCTAGTTTCAATAAAAATGAGCCCAATCCTGAAAAATAGAAACATCTCAATGAACACCAAAATGAAAGTCCTGAAATGCTATGTTTGGTCAACCCTTCTATATGGCTGTGAATGCTGGACAATCACTAAAGACAGTGAAAATTAAATAGAAGCAACAGAAATGTGGTTTCTTAGGAGACTGCTAAGAGTATCGTGGAAATAAAAGAAATCAAATAAGGTAGTGCTTGATGAAGCCCAAGTGGGACGCTCAATGTTAAAAACAATCAGGAAACGACAAATGCAATTTTTGGGACACCTGGATAGACATAAGGGTCTTGAACATCTAGCTCTCACTGGCAAAATTGAGGGCAAGCGAGGCAGGGGTAGACCCAGAACAACATACTTAAGGAACCTGAACAAATGGGTAACAGGGAAAGGTCAGGGAAACGTAGCTTTTTTTAGAGCATCCGAGAAAAGGAAAGAATGGAAAACCATGATCGCCGATGTCTGTCGCAGATCTGGCACTGGATGATGATGATATTTAATAAGACGTTCCAAGATGTGCGACATTTGGGCAATTCTGGGGTTTTTAACAGGAAGAATAAGACATACTTTGATTTTTGACGTTTCACCTCACTGTCATCATCATCATTATCAGCATCATCATCATCATCAGTTTCATCATCATACCATCATCATCAATGTAAACAGACAATTTAAAAAAGTTGAGACTTGGTAGATTAAGGATTTCTAAACTAGATCTATATTATATAAATACGTTCAACATTTCGCGTAGGGCTTCATCAGGAACATTTGAACAATAAATAATTTTTAAATGAGAACTACATCATCATCAACATCAACATCATCATCATCATCATCATCATCATCATCATCATCATCATCATCATCATCATCATCATCATCATCATCATCATCATCATCGCTACAGTAAAGCAAAGCAAGAAGTGGACGGAGACTTGAGTGTTCCTGAAAGTTTATGACGTTAAAAAAATACGCTCGGCTTTTCCCTCTTTTGGGTTTCATCAGCAATGTGATTACGAAGATCAACGCCATATTTAAAGGTAGCAGCAACCCTATCAAAAGCAGCAGCAGCAACAACAACAACAACAGCAACAATAACAACGACAACAACAACAATAACAACGACAACAACAACAAAAACAGCAACAACAACAACAGCAGCAACAGCAACAACAAGAATAACAACAACCGGCAATAACAACAACAACAGCAGCAACAACAGCAACAACAACAACAACAACAACAACAACAACAGCAACGACAACAACAACAACAACAGCAGCAACGACAACAACAACAACAACAACAACAACAACAACAACGCCGCTGCCATTGTAAAGGTAATCTCGTCCTCAAAGTTCTTCCCGACGGTGGCGTCTATTTCTCGTTGGTCTCCATCGCAACTCGAAGGGATTCTGTTCTTTCAACAGTGTTAAACTTCAGCAGTTTTCGAACACGGAAAGTGGAGAGGTGGGTGGAGAATGCTTCATCTTTACAGAAAGACATGTAGAATCCAAAGGGGTTATCAAGAAGACTGACGTGAAGTGGCCTCAAGCAGGCTGCGGTTAATCCACCTCCCGCACCATCCATGATCTGATTTGTTTCTTCACCGACGTAGGGTGGAGCCTGTCCAGCTCTCCTGGACTTTCATTGGTCGGTTAACTTTGGGTGAAGTCCAAATGTTAAAAATAATTGAGCTCGACTCATGGGCCGGCAAAAAGTGAGGATCAATTTGTTTCAAAAGAGTTGCTCAAATCGAAATCGATCTGACAAAAATATAAGCAGACTAACTGTTCGGCTCACACACCAGCAGCACAATACCCTCCCCCTCCCATCCCCGACATCTTTATATTCCTTAACAAAACGTGCTTTATATATATATATATA